TTACATGTAATAAACATTTAAACTGTAAATTGGTTTTTGTCAAACATTTATTTATAGATATTATATTGAATTTCCTGTTAAATAAAAGAATTTGTTTTTTGGTGTTAAAAATAAATTATGGTTTCAATAGAATATATGAAATAACAAAAGAAAAGTAAAATTGTAGAATAATTCATGTAATGTTAAAATTTTTTAACACAAACCCATTTTAAATGAATTGCTTTTAAACTTTAAACTTTTCCCAAATGTAATCTGAATTACTATAAAAACAATTTTAGTTTAAACATAAGGATTATAAGAAACCATAATTTATATATTATTTTTTATTTATTTAAAATATAAAATACTTATTACTAAATTATAATTATGCAACTTTTGTATTTTATAGTACTATTAATAATTTAGCATGATAAATAACACAAATTCTTATGGAGGTCTTAAATTAAACGGCAACACATTTAATACATTTTTAATGCTCATAAAATTTAATTATCATTTGGGAATACTATGTTCAACAGAATATTCTGTATCTCACATATACTGTGTATAAATAAAATAAACATATAAAATAGCTTACCCGAAAATTTTCGCTCATAAAACAGTAGACAATAGGGTTGACCAGTGAGTGAAACTGGGAGATCCAGTGGCAAAAGAAGTAGGTGCCCACGTATGTAAAGTATTCAACTTTTAGCTTCAGGTTCAGTATGTTTGGGTAGAACCACACCAGTAGTGAGAATATATGGATAGGAAGCCAACAAATGGCAAATAGCATCACAATTGTGAACAACATTTTGAATATCTGTTTGGGATTAAGAAAATACTCTATTATTAGCAGTCATTGATAAAACACTTGTGTTTGGCTATTTATTGTGTAACATTTTTTTTGGGATTAGTAATAGTAAAAAAAATAAAAATTGTAAGTACCACTTTAGTCTAAACATAATAAAATATATTTTCCCACTAAATGACTATTTGTAGAATAAACTAAATATATATTTGCTATTATTAAGATTTTAAATTTAAATTGGATCATTTGTATCTAAAATTTTTAAATACAGTATTTAATTTAAATGAGTATTTCTATATTGTAATAATATTTTTAAATATAACTATAAGCTATTGCATTAGTAAAATAAAAATAAATAATATTTATAACGAGTTAACCATTTTAAAATTCAATATGTTTTTGAACTTGAAAATCTAGGAACTAATTGATGTTAAACTAGTAGTTTTGTATGAATGCTAATAAAACTAATCTCTCTAACTTCTTATTAGATAATTGAGCCTTTGATAAAAGCTTTCATTTATAACATATCGCAACACAGAATCTACTTATATATTCAGATTATATCATGTTGTGTGCAATTACGGTGACTATTGTTTAATGATTACTCTCTCACTCAATAGGAATTATAAACCAATTTATTAGATTTGCTATCAAAACAGAAATCACAGCCAAAGTGTACTAATTGTTATATTATACTAACTTAAGTTCAGTAACACATAATCGGACGTGTATTACATATAGCGGTAACATATGGTTAAACGTACAATGAGTACACAAAATGGTATGATATCTATTGGTCACTGCACTCTATCAACAGTCAGTGAGATCTAAACAAATGACAGTATAATATATTATGTCAAAAACATGAGTTCAATATCATATCATTTTTGTAGCAATGAACTTATTATGAATTTTAGGTTTACGTGTATTGCAGGTGATAACAGAATATTCTATAATATTTGTATCAAATCTAATGGACATTATATTCTGGGTTTAATGGCTGATAAGATTTAACTGGTAATATAATTGACTTTAAACATAAAAATATTAAACAAATACAACACTTAATCTTAACTTAGGAATCAAAAGTATATTCAACTTTATAGACAAACAGAATATTCTGTGCATTAAACAAAATATAATCTTTTAGTTAGGGTATAAAATATTTGCATTTAATTTATATTCACGTTTCGGGAGATAAATGCAAAAAACAAAGATAAAGGTTTTAGACCTCAGATATGTCTCCGAAAAAAATTGATGACAAAGACCGAGATATTAATGCGAAAAATAAATTGATAAGACAATGAACTTGCTAACTTTGTGACATAAATCTCTATAGACTACAGTCCTTATCCATGCATTTTACACTCATTTATATTCATTACTAATAACCAGCAGATGTTATGCTAATTAACTACTCATTTGTTTTGAAAAAACTTAATGTAATGACAAAATTCCCGAAACAATAGTCACATATAAAAACACAATTCACTAATACTTTTCATTTCTGTATAGCCGTAGCCGTCTATCTCCACACACATCCCTTTCCCTCCCTATCCATCCGACGACTTTGAATCTAATAATTTAAAATCAATACTTAAACAGAGAGTACGAGTGCCCGGGTATATAGATAGAGAGAGAACTGGTGTTTAAATAATTTTAATGATATAGTCTTTCAGTTTTAAAGGAAATTCACTGCGAAAAAGGCTTTGATATTGAGTTTTATCACGAATTGTTTGTCTTATAAGCAATTAGAAGCCAAGGTTTGGCACACATTATATACAATACACTGTAATATACTGTAGTAAACAGTGTTTAAGTTTTTTCTCAACACTCATCCATTTATATAACACTTTTAGATCTCAAATTGAAAAACTAGTTAAACAGGAGAGATATCTCTTAAGATTTAAGATTTTTCTTTTCTAAAGGCTTACGGTTTTATTGATTGAAAATATTTTTTTTGGTTAAAATTTTGGGTAAACATTGAATTATTGACTCTTTTGTGGATAAAGATTTTTTGTGTCGATTATATACATTAGACACACTGTATAGTAACCATTATAATTAAATTTTTGCTTATATTAATTATTTTAATTGTTGTATTTATGAAATAAAAATTTTTATAAGTGAGAAATTTTTGTCATTCCGTTATTGTATGATATTTCTCTATATTATTATTAAAACATTTGTATAGTATATTGAAGTTTAACAGTTTCACAAATTTATAAGATTTTTATATGAAAAGCACACATTCCGTGAATATTCTGTGAATTCTGTGTACATTCAACGTTATAATAAAATATATTTTTAGTACACTATTCTGTGTTGTATACAAATATCGATGATTGATAGCATTGCACACACAATAAACATAATTTATATGTGTATATAACTTATATATAACTAAAATTATATAATAAAATGCAATAAAAATTACACGGTACCTTTATATTGCGATTATTGCGGTATTCATCCCGATTCCTATCGGGTATGCCCGGCATCTCATTCTTGAGTAAATGTATGCCGATCTTCGTGTAGACAAATATAAGGGCTACTATTGGCACCACAAATGTGACCCCGAATATGAATATCGTGTAGAGTTTGCCCTCAAAGTCAGCCCAATCTTCGCGACAGTCATAGTAGGAGTCGTCGTTGTATTCAAAGGGAACGGCCTTTGATTTAATCAATTGCGAGCTCCCGATGACTATCCCTACGAACCAAATGAGCAAAATTGCGGAAAATTTATGCGATTTTATACACTGTTGCGACCGAAATGGGTATACGATTGCGAAATATCTGTCAGAAAATAATTGATTGAAAAAATAAATTTATAATCGCCTGAAACATGAGATGAAATTCTGCGAAAATTCTTTATTTTTAACGATAATAATAATATATAAGTCAAATCCAAAGTAAATAATATGTTTTATTTTTTTTCGTCGTGGGTTTACTGCAATTGAAAACTTATTTTAAGTTGAAATTTATATAAATCACAAAAAGATCTGTTAAATCTCTCTCTCTCTCTCTCTCTCTCTCTCTCTATCTATCTCCTTCCCCTCCCATCCCTCTTATCTTCTC